CCGCTCCTCCCATCCGCTAGATATTTCAAGGTGGTACAGGCAGGGGCACGGGAAAACGCTTCTCTCTCTCCACCCCGCAACTCTCAAACCCCAGGTCTCTGGCTTCGGATTGCGTCTTTCGCGCTATGCATAATTGACTCACAGTGGTAACTGGCGACGCTAAGAATGGATGGATGTAGAGCTGGAAAGATTCTGGCTCACATAAATTTCGTGCGGAAAGCGACACATATCTGTGCGGAGTCTGGAGCCTTTTTTTTAGCAGCGTTTTTGCCGTTGTTCGCGTCTGTTATTTGGTTTCATTGCCCCTAGCACGTTTGCCGCTGGGCACAATCTGGTGCTTGCCTGGTGGCTTTGCGTGTGACGCGATTTTGTGACGCGTTTTTGTGTGCAAGGAGGTCCCAGTTTGACTAGGGGAGGTTTGGCGAAGGTTTTTCTGTTTGCGAAGGGGCAGGTTGGTTTGCCTTTGTTTCGCAATTCCAATTTTGAAACTCTGGTTCCTCGTCACTTTCGCAGCCAATCAGAACCCTAACACCCCCTCCCGAGCCGCGCACTGCAAATCTGTTTTTCGCGGCTTGCAACTTGGGATCTGGGCTTTAAAGTAGGACCTATCAAAAGTAGGACCAGGGGTTATATGTGACGGGCTGGCTCCTCCTGCGGATTGCCAAGCCTATTTCCAGGTTAGTGAATCAGACAAACTGACAGTTATTTCCACAGTCGCATACACTTGACATTCCTGGCCTTATGCCATGCCTATGTACAACAGAATACCGCTTCAGACCAGAACACTCTCTTGGCTTCAACAGACGTGGACATGCGCTTCAAGCACACGACATACTAGCACACCACGCATGCATGCACTTGCACAGAGTATATGGTACAATACAAGCACCACCAAAACTACCCTCCCTGTCAGGAAATCCCTCGTTGTACCCCATCCGTCTGCTGCCCCGTGCTGTTTGCAAACAGCTACCCTCGTCACTCTGCCCCTGCATCAAGGCAATAGAAGTGATCAGCTCACCCAGCAGGGAGCAGTCTACTCCGCAGAATCAGAACCGGATCAAGACTCATACAAAGCATCACCCACGCCCTACGTCTGTACCTGTTGGTCTTCATATTTCAGCTAAACATGGGCCTTCCTCCAGGGCTTATCTTTGACTTTTCTGAACTCTGATTTTCACCAGAAGCTCATGGGCTAACTCTGAAATCCAGGGTGCCCTGGACCGGAACTCTGATTTGCCAGGGTTTTTGTGCCTTATCAGAAAAAAAACCCTATCCGCCTAGAATTTGGAAGAGATCTAGAATTTGCCCAGCAAAAAGTATTGTCTCACATCCACATGGCACGGTAACAGAGCAGCATCTCATCAATCATCATCATCATCATCATCATCATCATCCTCATATGAACCCTCACTAGCTGCAATCTCCTCATCCGAATCCTCGGCTGCACTCTTGCCTTTGTCGAGGGGAGTCTCATAGGCCACTGTCTTAGCCTGCTTTCGCATCTTCTGTTTCCTCCAGATGTCAACGATCTCGGCGTAGTCCATGTCGTAGTCCAGCATGTTGATCGTCATGAGTTCGCTCAGCCTTGCATCGCACAAGCTCGTCCGCAGCCACGACTTGATCACGTTCTGTCTGCTGAATCCTCTTTCACACTCCACTGTGCTCAGTGGAAGCACAGCCATGGCCTGCCACAATGCCATCAGGTTGGGATAGCTCTTAGGCCAGTCGCGGGTCTTGAGCATGGCAGCCAGCCCCTGGTTGAAGTCATCATCCGCCCGGTGGTTCTTCATGATGTGAACAAAGGTCTTGAGCTCCAGCTCGGCCGCCCTTTGGTTCACTCCTGGAATTGGGGTTTGGTTGGAATAGAAGCAGAGGACAACGGTTTAGTATCCATCCTAGGGCAAGGCAAACTGACATTTAACAACGAATGATACGGTTGTGTTAACGGAACTACTGACTTACCTGGCAGCTTGTGGTCGAAGAGGGCGACGTTGGATGCGAGCCAGGAGAGATGTCGCCGCTCGCGCACTTCTGCCTTCTTCGGCTAGCACTCAACTTTGAACAGTCCCGCGCCGCCCATCCGCTTCAGATCCCACAGCCTCTGCTCCACATTCGCCACCATGTCTTTGGCGAACGCAGAGCAAAGGTCCTCACAGTCCGACATGCTGCCGCCGAACTTGTGGCCGGGTAGCTTTTCCTCCGAGAGTTCGAATGCGTGCGTGCAGGGACTTCTGTCGTTGTCCATGCCATCGACGACGATGCTGCGCTTGCCGCTGGCATGCCGCTGCAGGAACTTGGTCAGCCTCTTGCTCATCCCCCCCCCGAATGTCGCACCGTACTCGATGTAACGGTGCCGGATGTAGGTGACCGTGCGGTCAACCTCCTGGGACACCAGGGTGATGTCCACCTGACGGAAGGGGCATAGGGCAGGCGGAGGTACAAAATGCAAGGAATTAAACTCACGCACATGACTACCAAGTTAAACACATAGCAAGACTGTGCAACAGTGCAACGAGATACGCCAAACAAAAGTACGTCCCGTTAAAACCACCACTTACAGAGCGCCTCTGAAAGAACCTGTTGAGGGTGTTCATCTCGGCGAGGACGTCAGCGAAGAAGTACAGGCAGTAGTGAAATTTCAGCGTCTTCACAACCGGTGCCAGCTTGTGGTTGTACTCGATGAGGACAACGATCGCCGCTCCGAGAATGCTGCAGAGCCTCTTGATTGCATCGCCACGTGAGAGCCACCGGATAAGATAGAGTCCTTGATGCTCCAGGTTGGTGTTGTGGATGACCATCTGCAGGTGCTTGAAGCGCTCATACCATGGGGTGGAACGGCCAACAATCTCCCCCAATGCGCGGATGACGGCATCGATGATCTTGAAGTCCGGGAAGGCCGAGGCAGCACCCTTGACAGCCAGGGACTCTCTGCCAATAAAAACAAAACAGAGAGCATCAGCAACTTGACAAGATTTACCTGGAAGGGGCATGTAGCTATGCACGCATGAGCCATTAAAAGCACGTATGGGTGCAACAAACAAACATCACCTATGGGCGATGCAATGGACGCCCACGAGGTGCGGGATGCGCATTCGTAAGCGAGCCACCAAGCCATGATGCTCGCCTGTCATCGCAGAAGCCCCATCCGTACTGATGCCAGAGATCTTCTGGAGATCGACGCCGAGGGTCTCGAGGTGGGAGAGGATGATCGCCTGCAGAGAAGCCGCGTCGCACTTGTCCACGATCAGCAAAACTAGGAACTCGGTGACCATTTTCCGCTTCTTCAGAAATGTTGCAAACAGGATCAAGTGCTTCCCCCGCATTCTGTCGGTGCTTTCGTCACAACTGAGGCCGATGAATGGAGATGCGTGAATATGCGACATCTGTTGCGCCTGCAAGAAAGCCACCATGGCTTTCACCATCTCCTTTAAGCCGTACCTGAATGGGAGTCAGAAAGGCATGCACACAACACTGGTGTTAGTAGTTCGTTAAAGAGGATCACAAAATCCAAAGGTTATAGGAAAACCCGAAAGAGAAGCAGTACAAGGGGATTAATAAACTTACTGTGTTATGTAGACACTGTAGCTCTGCTTAGGAACGTCCTTCACCCCTTCATGCGCCATGAAGCCCACGAGGCGGGTGAACATGCTGATGGGCGCATCTTCCTTGCAGATGAATAACATGGCGCGGAGTAGCCGAATGATGCGCGCTCCCTCTGGGTCATTCGCAACAAAGTCTTCCATCCTCTTCTGGTTCTCCACTTCTGTCAGCAGGTGTTGTTGCTTCCTCACCGCGTCTTCATGCTTCTGACTCTCCTGGTGCCAGCGCATCGAGCCGACTTGCAGATCCCGACCGCCACTGTCCTCACGCCCGTATCTTGCATGCACTGCACCATGCTCCATGCAAACACTGCAACGCAAGCACGGGATTCCGTCGTCATTTTTATCAAGGACCAGCCATGGGAATTTGGGGAGCCAATCATTGGTATACTTATGTTGCACCTTTTCGTATGCCCTCGCCGTCTTCTCCGCAACTGTCGGTTTCGCTGACGGTGCAGTGACACGCTCCGGCGGTGGCGGAGTGGGGGGCTTAGGAGGAGGCGGTGCAAATGGCAGGTGTGATTGCTCATAGCGGCACCTCTTTTTCAACGTCACGGCGACCGATGTAGTCGTGGCGGGAGGAGTAGCAGCAGGGGTTGATGTGGCGGGACGAGTGGCAGCTGGGGTTGATGTGGCGGGACGAGTGGCAGCTGGGGTTGTCGTGGCGGGACGAGTGGCAGGCGGGGCCTTGGATGGCGAGTCAACCAGCTCAGTCACATCGTCCTGATTGCGCTCCCACTCTTCACTGCTGAGAGATGGAAGGGGGTTCGAGTACACAGGAGCGGCATGTGCACGACGAAGGAAATCGAGGCCTCTGAGGGGAGCGACCCTAACAAAACGCTCAGCGCTATGGTCGTCCTCCCCCCCATCGTCCTCGTCATCAGAACTACACATGACGGGCTCTGGTGGGAAAGTGGCTGCAAACAGGACTACCTCAGGGGAGATTGATACGCTCTGGTAGTTGTGAGAGGGGTACTCTCTCTTGCGTGGAGCAAGAGAGAGTTGGAGGGGAACTCCGTTTCCTGCAGCAAGCAGCAGAATGGATGAACGAAGGGAGGGACAAGCTGGTCTTGACTTGAGGTGATCGACAATGCGCTACTAGCTGTATGGTGCATGCGTGAGTAGCATCATTGCTACCCGCAGCCTAGCGTGCTGTCGATGTGCTGGCTGCTCCAGGAAATGCCTAAGGCATGCAGCAATCATCCAGCGGTGACAACTTCAGCTGCCGCACGCGGTTGTGCTGCTGATGCCACGCGAGAAAATGCCCAAGTGTCCAATGGGCATCGAGGAATCTTCCAACGGCAGGAAGTTTGGCAGCAAATGGCGAACAGTCAGCGGGCGGCTCGCGTGAAACCACCCAGGAATCCAGGCCACGCGTATGTGTGTCTATAGGGAGTACAGGTAATATCCGGGGGTATGCCCCCTATATGAATACCCACAGGGTGATACATACACCTGTTGAGTGACCCGCTGGGGTTGCCCTTGAGATCCTCGGGGAAGGGCCACAGGTGCAGAGCCTGGGGGGCTATGGGCGCACTTATCCGCTATTCAACAAGCCCTTTTAACCCAGTGGTTAGTGGCTGGGTTTCTGACATGGTATCAGAACCAAAGGTCTTGGGTTCAACTCCCAGTGCCAGCGCTGCAGAGGCGCTCGTGTCTTCCACCCATCCCAGCGGGGGGGGGGGTGTTGAGTGACCCGCTGGGGTTGCCCTTGAGATCCTCGGGGAAGGGCCACAGGTGCAGAGCCAGGGGGGCTATGGGCGCACTTACCCGCTATTCAACAAGCCCTTTTAACCCAGTGGTTAGTGGCTGGGTTTCTGACAACACCAACTCTGATAAATCAGAGAAAAGAGAACTTTCAAAAAAATTACCCAGGACCATCAGAGTGACTTCCAAAAACAACTCTGATTTTCAGAGAAACAGAGTGATTTACTCTGATAAAATAAGCCCTGCCTTCTTCCCCATTGCAGAGACTTTGCTGGTCAGCGCACGTACTGTTTCCTGCAGGGTATACCAAGCAAAAAGGACAACATACCGTGCTGATATAGAGGTGTACAGCATTGGCCGGAAAACAAGTAGCTCACATAAGGTACATACGCACCTGCAGCGACTGGATGACCCTCTGTTGCCCTGCACTCCTCCCCCTCTCTGCCTCGAGCTCCCATTCCAAGGCAGCCACTCCCTCTCGCTGCTCCCAGTGCTTCCCTCTCTTCCGCTGCTACTGCCTGCTGCCCCTCTGCCCGTGCCAATGCCGCCTGAGAGGGAAGAGAAGGGAGGAGCAGAGTGCAAAAGGGGGGAACGGGGAGGGATGGAAGTGGCATTGGAGTAAAGATAGGGGGTAAGGGGAGGGAGGGGGGGGAGGGGGGGTGGGGGGGGAAATATTGAATGAATCCATAGAAGAGGGTCCACGTTTGCCTCCTGCAGCTCGCTCTGGCTGCTGCTGCCAGCCACAACTGGGAGAGCGGGAGATGGGAAAATGGGCGAGAAAGGGAGGGCTGCTTGAGACGGAAGAGAAGGTGGGGGAAGGGGGGGAGATGCGGAGAGGAGTGCAAGAGGCAAGTACAGGGAGGAACAAACAAAGGGGAAACGGACGGGAAGATTCGGTGAAGCAACCACACTATCTTGAGGAACACCGTCCCTTTACCCCTCACCCTCCCCCTCTCCCCCCCCCTCCCCTCTTCTCCATGCACCCACCTGGAGGCTGGCAATCAGCCGACTCTTTGCTTCCACCTCTGCTCCCATCGCAGCCAGCTGCATTGCAGCCTGCTCCGCCCTCGCCTGCTGCCCATCCCCTGCGGAATCACTGGCAGCAGCAGAAGCACCAGCAGCAGCACCATCACCACCACTGCTACAACCATCATCAGCACTGTCACCATCATCACTGTCACCATCATCACTGTCACCATCATCACTGTCACCATCATCACTGTCACCATCATCACTGTCACCATCAGCACTGTCACCGTCAGCACTGTCATCATTGTCACTATCATCATCATCAGCAGCAGCAGCGGCGGCAGCAGCAGTACCACCACCGAGGGAAGGAGCAGGTGGCCGCTGCCGCAGGTGCCGCTGGCCAAACACATGCAGCTTGCGCAGCCGCGGCAAGGCCCTAATGCTCGCAGGCACAGGATTGATACTGATGCTTGAGGCCCATGCCATAACATCCAAGGACGTGAGATCCCGCATCTCAGTGATGCTCACTGGCAGCTCCTCCAAAAACTGAATCCAATTCACATCCAGCTTCCGCAGCTGTGGCACCGTCGACCCGATGTCCTCTGGAATCCGCTCCAATTTGTCCCCCCAAATGTCGAGCGTGCGGAGGAGCGGGAATGTCAGCGGGAATGGCAAATCTGCCGCATTATCATGCAGACGCAGGGTCAAGTGGCTCAGCTGGGACAGACTCCTGCTCACCGCCTCCCCGCACTCCACCTCCGGCACCTCCAGCGCCAGGTCCCTCAGATTCGGCAGCAGAGAGAAGTCTGGAAGAGATGTGGCATTGAATGGATTTCCCAGGCGAAGGACCTCAAGCGATGGCGGCAGCGACTGTGGAATTGCAGCCAACCGGCCAGACCCCAGCAGCCCCAGTTCTGTGAGCCTCCCGAGATGATCCAATCTCTCAGGTACTGAAGTGAGCCCGATGTCCACGTCGCCATCGCTCATGGTTTCAGCATCCAGCCTGAGGGACTCAAGGCGATTGAGACTTGTCAGCGACGCTGGAAGCGTCTTCAGGTCTGTGCAACTAAGCAAACGCAGCTCCCTTAGGTTCTGCAGCCCCGAGATTCCCTCAGGAAGTTCACTGATGTCGCTCCACTTGATCTCAAGATCTGTCAGGGAAGACAGCTGTGTGAATGAAGGGGGAATAACCTCCTGCCTGACGTCAAACAAGTGGAGCAGCTGGAGATTCGGGAGCTCTCCAATGTCCTCTGGTAGTTTCAGATCACTCATGCCGTCGAGCTGTAGGACCTTGAGAGCAGTGAGGCCGCTTAAACCTGCTGGCAGCTGGGAAATCTTGTCACAGCTCGACAAGAAGAGTGCCTCCAGGAAGGAGAGGCGGCAGATGGAGTCGGGGAGGGCCGAGAGGGACGATAGGCAGCTCAAATCCAGTACTTTGAGGGCCGGCAACTGGCCAAAGTTCCAGGGCAGGCTGGAAATGAGGGGACACCAGAGAATTGAGAAGTTTTCCAGGCTGGTGAGAGAAGTGAAGTGGTCAGAGAGGTCCACCAGAGACCCGCAGTGTTGAAGGTAGAGCTTGCGCAGGCGCGGCAGCAGGTCTCCCAGGCCGTCCGGAAGGCGGTGGAGGCGGTTGCACTTGCTGATCAGGAGCTCCTCCAGGCGGGTGAGAGGTGAATTCAGTGGAAAGGTGAAGTCGAACTGCGGGCATAACTTGACGAACTTCAGCGACTGCAGGGAAGACGGCAGGGTTGCAGGAGCGTCTGAGGCCAGGCTGGTCTGAAATTCGTAAAGGAGGGAGAGATGGGCGAGTTTCGGAAGGTGAGCTAGGCAGGCGAGGTGCTGGTGAGTCCAGGGAAAGCCAATGAAGAGGGTGGTGAGCGAGGAGAGGTTCTTGAAGCCGGGATTCGCCAAGGCTGCTGCATCCGTGAGGAGCAGCGTCTGTAGCTGCTGCAGCTGGAAGAAAGAAGTGGGTAATTTGCCATCCTGAAGGGGAAGGAAGATGGAAAGGTGCTGCAGCCTCTTGCACCGCTGAAAGAGCTGATCCAAGCCGACGGGCGTTATCGGGTGCTCGCCTCTCCTGCGCTCTCCCTGCGCCTGTAAATATCTCCATCCCACGTGGAGCGCGGTCAGCCTAGGGCATGACGAGGCCAGGTGAGTCAGAAAGTTGTCGTCTAGGGAATCCACGCTGCCGTCCTCCAGGTGCAGATGCGTCAGATTCGGGAACCGAGTGACCGCGACGGTGAGATCGTTCCTGGACGCGATGGAATTCCCTCTGACCAGAAGCGTTGAGACGTGGTCCTTCGCAAGGCGACGCCAGCGCTGGCAGACAGAAGCGTTGAAAAGACTTAGAGCGGCGTCCGCGGAGGCAGGCGGAGTGGGTATGGGTGACTCGTACTTCCGATGATCAGAAAAGTGATACGAACTATCCGGTTCGCAGATGAATTTCACATCTGGATCTATGGATCTCCACAGCTTGCTCTTTCTAGAAATGCGCTGAGACTGCCATAGGATCTGAAGGATCAAATCGTCCGTAAGGCTGTTGATAGAAGCGGGAGTCGCCATCTTGGAAGTAACGCTCAGGAGCGTGAAACGCCAGTAGTAATGTTGATTCAGCCATGGAAGGAGATCACCGATACCCCTCCGAGTGCCAGTAGCGCAGCCCTCGTAGCAAGTTCACTGGAGGTGAATCCATGCTGCTGAATCTCCTCCCTCCCCTCAGCAGCAGAAGCCCTGGATTAAAATCCGAAGGCGAGTTGACGGAATGCGTCATGCGCCATGCTCTAAGAGAAACCGAGCTGACGGATCACGGCGCTGGAGGTGGCCCGGCCACGTCAGCCTGGGCTTGAAATGACAAGCTGGGGTCACGCTGGCGAATTCCGAGGGGGCAGGTGCGTACATGCTGAGCCTCCTAAGGATCGAAATCTGAAATCCCGAGGCGGGTTGAGGGGTTGAGGGAACCTACGGGCATTGCTCCTGAATCCTGATCAGTTCGACATGCCCCACGAGCAATGGCGCTGACGAAGAACTGTGCTGGAGGTTGTGTGAATCATGATAGTTGGATCCAAATGCCACAAAGATCCGAGATCAGTTGTTTCGTTTACACACAAGCGGATCACTTCGGGAGGTGACAAAGTAGAATTGGTAACTCGAATAAAAGTGGGAATCGATTTGGAGCACATGCCACAAAAGCGGTTGTGAGCACGAATCTGAACCGTCAGATCCCGCGTGAAAGGGTGACCCTCGAGATCTGGTGTTGTAATGCAACCTTCCCCAGCCTGATCAGAACACTTGAGTTCACGCACGCCCTTCAACCTGAGAGATCCAGTTTATGATACACCTAGGGATTAGGCTGCAAGGCTATACAGCATGTCATAGTAGTGGATTCTGGAGTAGCTGCAGCAGCGTCGTATCATAATCTCCCGTGATTCGTTAGTCTCGATGCCGCTTCACTCGGCCTAGTGGCGTTCCTCAGCTGCGTCTTTATAGCTGATTACTTGCTATAAGTTGCGATCATCGCGTAGAGTTATGCGATAACCACGGACAGCAATTGACGTGCTGGCTCACTGGTGCCACCGTAGGCTATCCAATCCCAGACGTGGGTGCTCTCTCGTTGCTTCCGCTACAATGTCGTTCCCGCTAGACGCCTCAATGTCTCGGTTTAAGCACATTCGGGATCCAACGCGTGTGCTGGTGTCTGTCGCGCTAACCCTGCTCTGCTATGCGGCAATCAGTAGCGCTGCTGAGGATGTGGACTGGTGCTATCCCACGGATTACCTCCGCGTGTCAACTCCATGTACGTATCCTCGCGTAGAATTCATCGTCGCGTGGCTCGTAGTCTCACGGCTCAGAGTCGCAATGCTCGTCGTCGCAGAGCCTAGACACAGCAAGGCCGAGAGCATGAGCGTCACTGCTCAGCGACAGTGCAGCTCAACTGACGTAAAGGGTGTGGTCCGTGCCTGGCTCTCATGGTGCCCTGCTTGATGTGCTTGGAGCCATCTGGTAGCGATCACCTGGACAGACGGAGCTGATACATGCTGAATGTGCCGCTAGGCGGCCGTGTGCTGTCACTGGCTTGTCGCATCCACTGATTGCAATTATGGCAATGATGGTAACGGATCCATGAGACGGCGACGTTTGTCCGCTACAAGCGACGCACATGAAATTTGAGGCACTGACTTACGCCTTGTTCTGTGGGAGAGGGATCCCGCCTGGATGCTTGCTTTCAGCACGGTCGCCTCAACGTCGTTCGCATAACGACCTGTGTGCCGTCCGTTGTGTGCGTGCCGTCTGTGTTGTGTGCGCCGTGCGCGGTGTGTGTTGTCGCAGGCGCGGGGAGCACGAGGGAGGTGTCGTACGAGAAGATGCGCGAGTGCGCCGACCCCTTCCCCGTGCAGGGCGTGCACGACGAGCCCTGCTGTACGCGCACCAACCCTTCACATGCAACCCCAGTATCGCTGCCATCCGTTTCTCTCTGCTTGCCCCTTCTGTTGAGCTTTTCCTCCCGCATCCTGCTGTATCCTTATTTCGTCGGTTCATTTGTTCCTCCTTCGGTCACTTTCCCCCCTCTGCTGTGTGTACCTGCACCAGCATGCAGCCCAGAGGATTACGCGTCTGTGTACGCGTTACAACAAGGCAGCAATAAATGCATAGAGGCATTCACTACCGAGAGTAAGCACTTCCCCTTCAAGATTCCGTTTCACCTATTTCCCCGCTTCGCCCTTTCCTTTTCGTCACCATGCCACGTGTGACCTAGTGTAAGCTATAGCCTTCACCGCACTCTCTTCAGGCAGCTCATTTTCCATACTCACTCCTCTGCCACACATTCTTGTTCCACTGCCTCCCGCTGGAGCCGCTCCTGCTGCTGCTGCTGCTGCCGCTGCTGCATGTCACAGATTGCACTGGCGGGGTGGGCACGGGCCAAACAGTGGTCAATGACATCTACTGCGGTGAGTGAGCTCTCTGCACCTCCCTCCCTGCACCGCCTGACCTTATTCACATCAAGCACCCTTACTCTCATTTGGCTCAAACCCCTGTTCCGATCCTGTCCCGTTCTCCTCCCCTCCCTCGGTTCTCTGTCGCCCGTCCTCATCCCCCGACCTCCGCTGCGCAGAGCTGAAGAGCGTGGCGTGCAAGGAGGAGCACATCCGCGCGGCCTACTCGCCCTGCTACCGCGCCAATGTCTCGCCCTCCTCCTCCCTCGCCGCGGCCGCGGGAAGCGCTGGCACTGGTGCTGCTGCAGGCAATGACACGCTCGTCCCCGCTATAGAGGTACCACTCCGTTTGCCCACTTTGAAGGCGACACCCATACACCCTCCTCTTATTCCCCCCTCTCGGCCCTCCTTTCTGTACCTTTATGCTCTCCGCCTGTTAAGCTCCTCGCCTATATCCGTCCTGTTTCCCCCTCTTTCACTCTTCCCCGCCCCCCCTTCCCTCCCCAGGTGGTGTTCTACTTTGACAGCACGTGCAATCCGCGCACCAAGGGGTCCGTGCACCTGCCGCCCAACACCTTCATCCCCTGCGGTACGCCCACCCACCAATGCTGATCGTTTCGTAGTCTCCAGAATGAGCTGTGCTCACATCCTGGCCCCACCGCTCCACACTAGAGGTTGCTGTTGCGCTGTGCTCGTTGCTTACATGAATCGAATGAGAGATCGATTTTTTGCCCCTCTCCTCCGTCTGTCTGTGTTTCCATTCCCGTTTCGTTGTCTCTCCTTCCCCTGTGGCGCAGACCTCAACTGCGGGCCAGGGTCATTCCTTGACCGGGACACATGCCGCAAGTGTAAACCAGGTACGCGCTCTTTGTGCCCCCCTCCTCTCCTCCCCTCCCCCCCCCCACCACTCCTCATCCCCCTTTGCTGCGCTTTCCCGTCATGTCACTCGATGGGGAGCCAGGCATGGCACGTGTTGCGGTGAGCAATGAGCTGGCGTGGCTAAACCATTGTCTCTGTGAGCACGCTCCGTGTCTGCATGGCGTCATCTCTCCACGTGCTTGCATGCCCAGCCCATTCCCGCCCTTGCTATCGTCGCCTCTTCCCCCCCTCGTGCTGCCCATCGCCTGTGCCCCCATCAGGCACTTACAGCATGGGCGGTGGCTTGCGCATGGATCGATTCGAGGAGCTTGATGCTACCCTGTTCACTGTAATGCCACCATACCTTCATACCTTCTGTGCCCGCCATACCCACCATGCCATGCTCTGAGTTTTAACTCGCGACAACCCTGTGCTCCTCGCATTGAGCTTTTTCTCGTACAGCGTTGCGCCTTCAGCCACTGCATTGCTGCTTGTGCTGCCTTATCTTCCTGACATTCTGCAAGTAGATCGCATGGACCTTGTGCGTGCGTGCGTTCGTGTGTCCGTGTGTGCGTATGTGTGTGGGTGCAGACGACATGTGAATACATGAATGTCACGGGGAAGCATCCCTGCAAAAGGTAATGCCTTCCACTCACTTCCTTCCCCCTCTCGCCCGTCTTCCGTTTCATCTCATTCTCTTGTGCTCTCCCCCCCCCTCTCTCTCTTTCTCTTCCACCTCTTCCTCCCTCCCCCCCCGTCACCCCCCTCCCCCCTCCCACTAGTCTTCACGATTTCCCATCTCAGCTCTTGCCTCTCCCTTATCATACTCCCTTCTCTCCGCTCTCTCTCCACCCCGCGCTTCCACCCTTTCCTATGTTCTTTCCCCCCTCCCTCCCCCCCTTCCTTTCTGTCTCTCCCCTCGTCCCTCTGCCCATCGCCCTTCCCTCTGGCAGCTGGCACGTGGACGGGGGGGCGTTGCGGGCAGGTCCATACGACGAGCCGAACGACCTGTACCAGGACGAGTGTGCGGCGGAGGATGCAGACACGGACTGCCACAACAACCTCAAGGCGTCCCTCTCCATGCCCGTCAAACTCGTCCGCGACGGGTGCGTGCGTGTGTTGCATGCGCGCGGTGTGCCCTGGGCCCTGGGTCCTGCTGCTGTAGCGCTGCGGCTCACTTCAGAGGCGGTGCCAAAAGTGTGCAGCTCCGTTGCTATGCTGTTCTTGAAGCTCTTGGTATCCCACACAACCCCCCAACCCCTCATTCCCACCCCCCACCTGGCACACAGCTACGTCAAGCTCAACTACATAGCGAGTGCAGAATCAAGGCGCCTCAATGCGCCTCAAGTCCAGACTTCCACTCCCCTTATCCTTTCCCCCCTTCCCACCCCTCCCCACCCCCTTCTTCCGCCTCTGTGGCCAGGTACGTGAAGTTTAACTACACGGCGAGTGGGGAGCCGGGCTATGACGGGCTGTCCTTCTTCGTCGACGTGGCTGAGCGCCCCACCATGCCCATCTCCTCCGACCAGGTACGCCCGCCTTGCTCTCTTCGCATTGTTTCTGGCCCCTTACCTTTCTAGCTGGTTCAGCAGGTCTGGCAGCTGCTGGTAAGCTCGGTGGAGCGGTGTGGGCTTTTTGACAGCTCAGGTCACCTGTTCCCCCCACCCCCTCCCCCCCTGCTCCAATCCTTCCCCCCCTCTATCCCCCTCCAATCCTCCCCCTGGTCCTTCCCCCTCGTTTTATTTGCTGGGTGCAGTTTCGCCCGATGCAAGTGCAGTTTAATCTGAGCCGTGGCTTCCACACGCTCACATGGACATACAGCAAGGATGAGAAGTGGACGCAGGGACAAGACACTGCCACCATTACAGTGCGCCCCTACCTCCCTAGCATCCCTCTCCTCGGCTTTTCTCTGTTTCGCTCCTCTTTTCCCTCCCTCCCGTCCACCCTCCTCTCCCTCGTCCTCTCTTTTCACACGAACTCTTGCTCGTCCTCCTCTCTCTCGAACGGTCCGTCGTTGATGGGCAATCCTGGGTACAAACTAGGCATGCCGGGTTGGTACAAACAGGTGCCTCGGCACAGGTAAGTCTCCTAACGGGTCACCTTCTACTGCCGCTCGCCCTGGGGTTCTATCACCGCAAAACAGTCCCCAAGGGACATGCCGGCCTCCGGGGCACCCAAGGGGGGCCACTCAAGAGGAGAGGCCTCGTTCACCTTCCCCAGGTACGTGAGCGCCTGTCCCCGTTGGAGGGTGATGGACCAGCGCTGACGGAACTGACTGAGGAGTTTCGCGGCTTGGTAGGAGTTGGGGTCGGAATTGAAGAGGCGGCGGGCAGCCGTGTGTGCCAGGAGCTTGAGGAAGGTGGGCACCTCGGCGCAGGGGCAGCCGTATGTCTCTACCGCCAGCGGGAAAAAGCCGACGTACTCCGCCCGGCCGCGGTAGTCGTCTATCTTTTTGTCGGCTTGCTCTCTAGCCATGTAGCCACAGCCCTTACGGGCTAGCGGGTCTCGTGAGCTGACCGGGTCCGTGACGGTGACGTCGCAGATCCACACCGCCCCCGAGTCCCGATCCCGGATGGCCAGGTCGGCGGTTTTGCCGTCGACCGGGTTGAAGATCGCCGTCTCTTTGGTGACGATGAGTTGGGCGTCCCGCGCCATGCGGATGCACTCGTCCCTGAGTGCGTTGTGGGTGTCAGTGCGGCCGTGTCCGGTCCCGCAGCGGAACAGGTGGTTCGGGAGTCTTGGGTCCAGGATCTGTACCCGCTTGGCGCAATTGCACACCTTAGGTGCGGGGAAGGGGAGGCCCAGGCGGAATGCCAAGGCTATGGCGAAGTGCGGGGGCACGAGGCGGAGGGAGGGGAAGAGTGGGATGGCTAGGAGCCAGTCGCCTGCGCCGTAGCCGGTGAGGGAGAGGAGCCGTTGTGTATGGCCGCTCTTGGGGTTGAGTTCCATCTCTCTCTCTCTCTCTCTCTCTCTCTCTCTCTCTCTCTCTCTCTCTCTCTCTCTCTCTCTCTCTCTCTCTCTCTCTCTCTCTCTCTCTCTCTCTCTCTGCCCTTTCCCCACCCCCTGCCCGTGCCCCCTACCTCGCTCGCTTTCTATCGATCAATTTCTCTCAGATTTCCACTCGCACTGCTTCTCCATCTCTCATCCCCCCCCCTCTCCCTTGTGCCCCTGCCTGCGTGCGTCAGTTCATAGAGGTGGATGGCACTGACTTCAACGACCACACGTGCCTGCCCTGCCCTCCCGGCTTCTTCAGGTGAACTCACCGCAATTCTTTCTGCGGCCATCACCTCACTCTTTGATTCTGCCTGCCATCCCGTCTTCCTGTTTGTTACTTGGTTCCAACCCTTCCAATCATCTCCCCCCTCTCTCTCTCACACTCTCCCTCCCTTCTCTCTCTGCTGTTTCCTTTTCTGCAGTGGGGAGGGTGCGTCTCAGTGCTCACCATGCCCTCTTGACGCCGTCTCAAGGTAACTGTCCCTCCTCCTCCCTGCCGCTTCGCCTCCCAGTCCCATCTTCCCACCCGCCTCCCAATCCCCCCCCCCCCGCTATCACTCATATTTCTCCACACATCCACTTCGTTTTTCTATCCGTTTTTACTCCCAGCATCATACTCAGCTGACTGAACCCCTGTCTGCGTCCCTCCCTCTCGCAACATCTCTTTTCTCTGTCTGTCTGTGCCTTCCCCTCTCCCCGCCCCCGCTCCTTCCCGCTCTTCCCCTCTCCCCGTCCCCCCATCTCCCTCCATCCCGCTTCCTCCATCGCTGTGAGCAGTGGAGGGGCAACCCAGTGCACTCCCTGTCCCAACGGCACCTATGCTCTTGAACCTCCCCGCACCAACTGCACCCAGCGTCCGCGTACGCCCCTTACTCATTCCCTCCGCATCCCCTTCTCATATCCGCTTTCGTCCCTTGCTGCACCATACCTTCTGCTGTGACGCAACGCTCTGCGTGCGCCTCGTGCCGTTCTTGCTGCCGGGGCATAGCCTTGAGGACCTTGAGGGGCAAGACAGGCATAGGCCGACATGACATGCAATTTGTCCTCGTTTCCTTGTGCCTCCTCTCACTCCCGCACTGCTTTCTCATTCAAAGCCACCCTTCGATCCCCCGCTCCCACCCTTTCCCCTCTCTCTCTTCTCTCCTCCTTCCCCCTACCTCCTTCACCCTTACTCCGCCGTCTTGACTCCCATTCCCATGCTCTCCCATGCAACCAATCACAGCCTGCCAAGTGGAACGAGACGCCATCACGTCCTTCACTGCGTGCGATGCTACCACCAAGACAAGGAAAAAGGTCCCGCCTTTGCTCCCCCGCCTGCTCCCGCGCCCCCCATCCGCCCACCTCCCACTCCATGCACCATGCACCATCCATCCATGCACCATTGTTATCCACCCCACCACCATATTCCAAGCGCCTGTTGCTCGGTCTCTCGTTTGTGGATGCCTTGAATGACACGACATGAAGAGAGCATGCGCCCTTGTTGCCCGATCTGTGTATGTCCGTAACCATGGCATTTCCTCTTTATATGTGTCTGCATGTCTGCTGCATGTACATGCACATGTGTGCGTGGGGAGGGGGGGATGGGGAGGGGCGAGGTGGGGGAAGGGTTGAGAAGAGGAGGGATGGGGGTAGGCGTTTGGGAGTGTGTGTGCGTGTGAGGACATGGCATTGCATTGCAGGTGTGGAGTTGGATAGAGCCCCGGATCTGCAGTCCTACTGCAGACAGCCCTCTACCTCCTGATGAATCCCAGCCATGCCGTATGTTGCCTCTCTCCTTCTGCCTCTCTCCCCCCGCCTCTCTACCCACCTATGCACCTCTGGCTTGTGGGCTATGGTTTGCCCTCTCTCGTGTGTCTGCTCGTCTGCTCGTCCCTGTCCTCCACCACTCCCCCATAACCATCTCCTCCGCCTTCTCCCTGCTGGGTGTCTGGCTCCCCTTGGGTTTTTACTCTCCTCCCCTGCCATCAGCCCCGTGTCCAGCGGGCCAGGTATCAGCCGTGCTGCGAGTGAACAACACCATCATCTGCAAGTTCTGCCCTCCGGTACTCCTCTTTCAACCTGCCTCACCTCACCACCCACCAATTTCCACACTCGCCCCTTTACCTCACTCACCTGCCACCTCACCCCCCAACCCCCCCCCACCCGTTTCCCCGCCCCCCATCCCTCGCCCGTCTCTCCGTGTCTCTGCCTGTTTCTTGACTTTCCTGTCTTTGTCCTCCTTCTTCCACTGCTTTCCCAAAAACTGTCTCCATCCCCCACCTATTCCCTCCCTTCCTCCCTCCCTCCCTCGGCCCTCCCTTCCTCCCTCCCTTCCTCCCTCCCTCCCTTCCTCCCTCCCTTCATCCCTCCCTCCCTCCCTCCCCCGCGTCTCCCATCCCTCCCTGCATGCATACTCCATCCCTGCCAGGGCACGGCCAAGGCCATAGACCCAGCAACGCAGGCGGAGATCTGCGAACCATGCGAGCCGGGCTTCGTGGCCGTCAAAGAATTCTCCCTCGCGCACCTCGCACTCTCCTCCCCCTCCTCCTCCGCCCCCCTCCCCGCCAATTTCACCACGGGCTGCACCGGCGACTGCGGCTCCCCCGGGTGGCGCCTGGTGGGCGGGGTGCTGGACTCGGGTGTGGGGCATGGGGCAACGGTGCGCGTGTGGGTGGCGCTGAACGTGACCCTTGAGGTGGATGGCGAGGTGGCGGCGAACTACTCGGTGGACATCCCTGCGGGCCCGGGCGAGCAGCGCGCCCTCAAGTTCTTCATTGATGGCGCCGAGGTCGAGGAAGTGAAGGTGCACGGAGGGTGGGGGGAGGGGGTGAGGGGACGGGGTGAGGGGACAGGTGAGGGGAGGGGAGTCAGTGGGGGTCAGGGATGGGGTGAGGGGGAGGGGGTTGTGGAGGTGAGGGGATTGGGCGAGAATTTGTGGTGGTTTGAAACAGAGGCCGAAGGGGAAAGTTTTGGTGGGTGTAGATGGTGGTGCATGGAAACAGTGTAGTTGGGTGGGGAAGGTTTGAGGATGGGAAGGTAAGGGATGGAGGTTCTACAGCTGTGCACATGCATTTTCTATCTATCGGCATTATTCTCGCATGTGGCATCATGCCTTCTCTGTACCTCTTGTCCCTATCATCCCCGTGCTGCGTAATTTGAGTGCCTGTGTGCATGTGTGTGTGTGTGCATGTGTGTGTGAGAGTGTGTGCATGTGTAATTGCCTGTTGACGTGTGTGCCTGCGCGCCTGTGCATAAGCATGTCTGGTTCATGTGTACGCACATGTGCGCATGCCTGTGCATGTGTGTCCACTCCACAGATCCCCCTGAGTCCCTTGGAAGTGCAGATAGGGGTGTGGGAGTTGGAGGCGGGGCAGCACCAGGTGATGTGGATGTGGGAGAAGCTCAAGGCCGTCACACATGCCGACAGGGACTCCGCTGTCATCCACAACCTCACAGTGCGTCGCTCGCCTTGCGAACCCATGCCTTGCCTACCCATGCCTTGCTTACCGTTGCCCTTCCCCCCACCCATACCGTTCCTTGTCGTCCCTTTCCCTTGCACTGCGTATTGCACAGAATCCTCTCTTGGGCTCCTGTCCATGGCTCCCCTGCCCTCCTACTCCTACTGCCCTTTCGCCCACTATCCACCCCACCCCCCCCCACCCCCGCCCTGTCCTGTGCCCTCACTGTCCGTCTCTGCCACTTGTCAGGTGCGTGGAGTGGCGCAGGGGGGCGCGTCCAGCTGTCTGGAGGTGCCTGAGGGTGCACACCTGTCGCCGTCGGGGCTGTGGTGGGAGCCGTGCCCACCCGGCACGTATGGCAAGGGCGGCACCTTCAACTGCACCAAGTGCCCCGCTAACACCTTCAATGAAGCTTCCTTTGTGCGTGCGGGATCGGCTCAAGTATACGGGTTGTTGTGATGTGACGGGTGATTGGGTTTATGGTCTTAGCATGGAGCATCATTTCCATTATCGGCTCCTTCTGCAGTGTCCCGTCACATGACACCAGCGGCAGGGAGCACATCCCCGTAATACTCCTCTTGGTCCTCTCTCAACCTCTCCCTCTCACTGCGCGTGCCACGGTATGGCAGGGCATGGAGGAGTCGTGTGAGCCGTGTGGCGAGGGCACGTCAGCCGCAGAGGGCAGCAGCGAGTGCACGGTGGGAGACGTCTACATCCCCACCTCCTTCTGCCACTACACACCGCCTCCCACCGCTTTCAACTCCTCTCGCCTCACCGTCTTCGACCTCTCCCCCCTCGCGCGCCTGCACCCGAACCAAATGTTTGGGCCGATATACGATGATCCCACGGCTGCAGATCGGGAGCAGCGGTCGCTGTACTATGTCAGTGTGTGCACGAGAGACCGGACCAACACCACATGCTATGCTCCCAGGGGAGGCTCGCTCAACACGTATGCCTGCCGGGTGAGAGCTGGGAATGGCGTGGGGCTTTGACGGCTTGTGTTGGCGCGGCTCGCTGGTTGGACGGGTTTCACTCCCGGCCCCCTCTATCTCTTCTCCCTCCCTCCACCTTCCCCCACCCTTCCCCCCACACTTTCTCTCTCCCATACCCCTTCTCCACCCCCCCCCCTCCCCTTTCCCCTCCCCCAACACCAGATCAACCCGCGGTCGCCTCTGGAGGGCCCGCGGCGCAGGGCGGTGAGTGTGGGCGACAGCATCTCGCTGCACCCGCTGGGGTCGGACCCCGCGCTGGAGCGCCGCGGCTTCGTGATGCGCCTGGAGGGGTCGCTGTGCGCCACGGGCGATGAGCTTCGCACCACCAACATCTCATTCATCTGCGACCCCGATGCCGGTGCGTGGGGTGGATAGGAATGCTGGAAAGCACGTGTCGATGCTGGTGTGTAGTGCTGCTGTGGCAGCGGGCTTGAATGAGAACCTCACCCACGCGTTGTGCACCACGGGGGACGAGCTCCGCACCACCAACATCTCATTCATCTGCGACCCCGATGCCGGTGCGTGGGGTGGATAGGAATGCTGCCGATGCTGGTGGGTGGGATATTTGTGGCAGTGGGCAGGCATAGGAGCCTCACCCATGCGCTGCGTGCCACAGGGGATATGCTGCGCACCACCAATATCCCATTCATTTGTGTCCCCGATGCCAGTGGGTGTGGCATGGATATAGAGTGCACACATACCTCGGCGGGTGGGTGGGATGTGCGTGGGTGGGTTGGATAAGAAGCTGGAACACGCATGCCGATGCTGGTGAGTGGGAGTTCTGTGGCCTTGAGCAGAAATGAGGAGCCTTAGAGTGGAAACTGCAGCTGTGTTGCGGGAAGGGGACAGGGTGCAGAACAACTGGGTGATTACGAACACTGAGCTTTTCCAGAACCTGACTGAAGCGTCCAAGCAGATTGATTATGTAGAGAGGAACCTGCAATTTTCCCCCACTAGACCAGCTTCTGCTTCCCAGAAGCATCGACAGATAATGGCAAGACCTGTCCTTAATCGCCCTGCATTCCCCCTTCCCTCCCCCACCCCTTGTCTGCCAACTTCCACTCCTGCTTTGTCCCTCTCCCCCCCTTTCCCCTGCCACCAGGCTACGGCGCCCCTGAGGCGTGGACAGACAAGGGCAAAGCAGCGGCAGTGGACCCGACTCTCTCCTTCCCCAGCTGGGTGGTACACAGCGGCACGGTGCTGCCAATCGGCGATGAGAACGCGTGCACGATGGAGATGGTGTGGTACACGGCTCATGCGTGCCCCATGTGCACCATGGACGACTACGAGCTCGTGGAGGTGTCGGGGTGCTTCGACAACAAATATGCCACGTACAAGTACAGGGAACCCAAGGTGCGCAATGTGGGGTGCTGTGCTTGCTCTTCCATGTTATGTTGATGTTTGAGTGGACTCAATGGTCATTGTAGGCTCGTGGAGGTGTCGGGGTGCTTCGGGGTGAAGCACGCCACATACTCGTACAGGAAGCCCAAGTGCGCAATGAGATCGGTGTGTTGGTGCTTGCTTTCCTCTTGTTTCTCCCCAGCTTCCTCTGCTTTGTTACCCCCACCCATCCCACTCCACCACGCTCTCCCACCCGCACCACCTGTCTCTCTCACAGCTCAGCAGCATTCACCAACGGTTTGGCCCCAATCCAACTGTTCATTCTCTTTCACCTTCCTGCCCATCCCTTTCCCTCCCCTCCCCTCCTGTCTCCTCCAATCCACTCCCCTCCCATATCTCTCCCATCCCCATCCATCCCCTCTCCTCCTGCCCCCTACCCCGCCACCATTTCCAGACGTGCCAAGCGAATGCGCAGCTGCCGCTACCCCAGGACGTGCCGTGCCAGCCATGCACGGAGGCGGACTACGAAGCCATTCAGGACTCGTGCACGGACGCGCAGGGCCGCCACAACACCTCGTATCGCTGGCACCACCCCAAGCGCTGCAACGACTCCCTCCCCGGCGCCGCACACCTCCCTGCATCCGTCACTGCGGGCCCCTGCGAGCAGACGATCTTTGTTATCTCGGCCGACATGCTCAGCTCGCAGTATGTGTTTCTGATGGCGCTCGGGGGCGTGCTGATCGTGGTGCTGTCGGTGGTGTGGGTGGTGACGTGGATCAAGCAGAGGAGGATCTACAGCCTGTACCAGAAGATGGTGGAGCAGGAGCAAGGGGACGATGAGAATGAGGGGGATGAGGAGGAGAGGGGCGAGGCGGAGATGACCAACCTGCACCGACACAACAGCGGGAACTGATGGGGGGAGGGGGGGAGGTTGTTAGGGTAGGGAGGGAGGGGGAGGTGCGCTTGCTTGTGGAATGCACGCTGGGAGGGAAGGGGAGCTGGTGGGAGTTGCATGCAGCAATAGCGTGATGCTGTTCCTTCAGGGATATGACTCGTTAGCAGGATAGAAGAATGTGGAGGGGGTGGTAGTGGTGGTAATGGTGGCTGTGTCGTGCAATATGGCGGTGGTATGGTAAGCACAAACGGGTTACTGGGTGCTAGTACCAGTTTGATGGTTGGATCAGAGCTGAAGATTTGGCCCATGCAATGAGTTGTGGTCTTTGGATCCACCTGGTCTGGTACACCGCCTAGAGCTACTCCATTCCGCTTTTGCTCTCTGTATGCTCATCTTGACACAAAAGAGGACCGTGGCGTGCAACTCACTAGGAGACAGGGCATTACCACACGACTTTTGTTGCCAAAGGCTGTTCCTGTGCTCGGGTCCTGTGGTGACCCAATGAAGCGCTAAGATTGGAATTGAATCAAGTTGCAATGAAGGCACAGAGAAGATAAATGATGAGACGTGTCAATAAGCCAGCAATAGATACTTCATCAAGGGACTCCATTGTGTGTGCCATACTCGAAGGTCCCAACCGGGAAGTGGTACTACCTAGGTGCTCCCAACCATGCAGAGACTCCGCCCTGGCAATGGAATGGATGGACGCTATGCTACCCGGTAACCTGGCAACCCGGTACTATGAAGCCAGTGTCAGTGGTGACAGTACATCAGCATGAGTCCCTGGAGCAGCCAGCAGCGCCCTCTGAATGCCCTGCGCATCCCCACCTGATGCTGCCTGCACCACCACTCCCAGCCCCTCGTCCCCCTCATCCTCCTCCTCCTCATGACCTCCCCTTACACCTGCTCCTACCCCTCCGTGCTGTATGGCTGCCCCTGCCCCTGCCCCTGCCCCTCCCTCTCCTCTCTGCATCTCCTCGCCTCCTGCACTGCCCTCCTGCCCCTCCCCCTCCCTGGTGCTGCTGTACCCCACCCTGCGATGCTCGTCCTCCTCCTCCCTCTGCATTTGCTGCTGATAAAAGGCCTGAGCCGGGTTCTCCTCCCCAGTTCCCTCACCACCATCACCACCGCGCTCCCCCCCTCCCTCATGCATGCTCCCCCCGTCTCTCCCACTCTCACTGCTCTCTCTCTGCTCAACCCTGGTTGGATTCAGCCCCATCGCATATGCCCTCTCCCTGTCGCTCCCCCTCAGTTCCTCCTCTCTCTGCCGCCCTGGCTCATCCCCTCCCCCTCCCTCCCCACCACCGCCACCTTTACCTGCTCCTCCCATGCCTCCTTCTGTTCCTCCACTTCCTCCAGTTCCTTCTGCTCCTTGTGCTCCCTCGGCCTCGCGTGCATACTCATTGCCAGCATGCTCATTGCCAGTATGCTCATTGCCAGCATGCTCATTGCCAGCATGCTCAGCCTGCATTTTCATGTGCTCACCATCGCCCCGCCCTTCCATCGCCACTGCATTCGCATGTGCGGCCTCCCCTTCCTGCACTGCTGCTTCAGAACCTGACGTGTCTGCACCACGGCTCTCTCGTTCTTGCGCCCCATCACTCTCCCCCACCGCCCCTTCACCCACCACCGTTTCCCCTGCATCTCCACGGCCTGTGCTTTCCTCCCCTGCTGGCCCCTCACTTCCACTCCCCTCTCTCTGCGCTCCACCATCCGCCCCTTTCCCTGCTCCCCCTCCTCCACCCGCCCCATCCCCACTCACCTGCTGCCCGCTGTCACCCCCTCTCTCTCTGTCCCCTTCCCTCCCCCGCTCTCCCCCGCCACCCTCTTCTTGCCCATGATCCTTCCCCTGCGAGCCGCTGCTGTGGTGTACGGAATCGGCAAGAGCATGAGCAGTGCGTTCAGCAGCCCCACCAGCATCATCATCATCGTCATCATCATCAGCAACATCCCCAGCACTGCTGCTGCGGCTGCTATCAGCCCTCTCCCCACCAGCGTCTGTATCTGCAGCGCCAGAACCCAGTGTGCCAGCACCAGCACCAGCACCAGCACCAGCACCAGCAGCACCAGCAGCACCAGCAGAACCAGCATCTCCCCCCTTGGAATCACCATGCAGCCCGGCACTGCCCCCCTCTTCTCCACCTGCCATCCCCATGCCCTCCAGCAGCGAGTCTAGCTCATGCTTCCCTCCTCCCCCTACCGCCCCTCCCCCCTCCTGCTGCCCCTGCTGCTGCTGCTGACGCCCCTCCGCCTGCTCCCCTGCATGCCCCGCCTCTGCCCCTCGCCCGTCCACCAACCCTGCCCCAGCCGCTTTCCCAAACGGCAAGTCTTCGTCCCTTCCCACCTCGCCTTGCTTCGCCAGTGCCTTCTCTCCTCTCTCTCCATCCCCCTGCTCTCCCTTTCCCTCCTCCAAGTCCACTGCACCATGCCGCGCCCTCCCATCCCCATCCTCGCTGTCAGTCTTTGCCTCCCGCTGCCTGCCTCTCTTCCCCTTCCCCTTCCCCTTCCCCTTCGCCCCTTCCTCCTCCTCCTCCTCCTCCTCCTCCTCCTCCTCCTCTCCCCCATCCTTCCCAATCGCCACCTCGTCGTCTTCATCTGCCTCAGTCTCCTGCCTAACTGACCCCCTCCCCCGCCTCTTCTGCCCATCTCTCCTTGCTACCTCCCCCTCGCGCCCCCCCTTCCCTCTGCCCTTCCGCTTCCTTGCCTTCTCCTCTAACACCTTCAGAATCGCATCTAGGCCGTCCACGTCAGCATCTGAGTCAGAACCATCTTCCGCCTCCTCCCCTCCTCCCCTTGTCCTCTTCCGCCCTCTCTTCCCCCCCCTCCGCGTTTTCCTTCCCCGCACATCCTTCTCCTCCTCGTCCTCCTCTCCCGCTTCGGGTTCGTCCTCCCCATGCCCCACCCCACTGGCCTTGCCATGCAATCCCTCATGCCCCTCCCCTTCCTCTTCCTCTTCCTCCTCCCCCCCGTCATCCACATATCGTCTGCTCACCCGTCGTCGAATGTCAATGTCATGCTCCCCCCTCGTCACGCCGCGCCTGCTTCTCCGTTTCCCCCCCCTCCGCCTCTCCCCAGCGCTATTATACCCCTTCCCCTTCCGCCCGCTTGCACCAGAACCGCGAGTGACCTCGTTAGTGTCACGCTCTGGGACACTGACAGCATCGCCCTCGTCTAAGTCACTCTCTTCATCTGCACTAGCGCCGCCTGCTTTCCCCCCAACACCTGCACGATCCCGCCCTGCCCCTGCTCCCATCTCCTCATGCTCCTCTCCTAGCCCCCCTACCCCTCCTACCTCTCTTGCCACCTCGCTCGCTCTTTTGCCCCCTCGCTCAAGCTCACGCTCCTCCCCCTCCTCTTCCTCATCCTCTTCCTCTCCTTTGTGTTCGTCCCCCTTCTCCTCCTCCTCCTCCTTCTCCTCCTCCTCTTCCTCTTCCCCGCCCTCGCTTCTCCCGGTTTTAGCGGCAGCAGCCGCCGTTCCAAGGCCCCTTCCTTTCCCGCTGCCCCGCTCCCACTCCCTCCCGGATACCCGCGCAGAGGCGCTCCTCCGATCCCCCCCGCCTCCGCGTTGTTCCCCCAGCCGCATCCCCATCTCCGTCTCGTCCAATTCTTCCGCCTCCTCCTCTCCGCGCAGCCCCCCGCGCTGCTGCCAGCCGCCGCCTTTCCCCCTCCTGCGCTCGAAGCCCCGCTTATTTACCCCATCGTACCCACCCTCCCGCCGCTGCTGCTGCTTCGCGCCCTTCTCGCCGATGCCCCCCTGTATCTGGTGCCGCCGCTGCGACCGCTCCTTGCGCGCACTCCCCAGCTCCCCGATGATCCCGCCCCCGGACGCCCACACGCTCTCTTCCCCCGGTAGGTCCGCGCCTACTACAGCTGAGCGCAGCCGCGCCGCAATGCCGCCCGCACCCGCCGATCCTCCGCGCAGGTGCTGCTGCGCCTGCTGCCGCGCGTGGCGGTGCGCTGAGCGGGGCTGGTGATGCAGGCGCAGGTTAGACGGCAGGCGCGGGTGCGCGTATGCGAGCAGCAGCATGAGGAGAATAAGGGCAGATGCGACGAGCATGCAAGTGCAGCATAGTAACGAGCAGATCGAGCATCGGGGAGACGACGATCCCCCGCCGCCGCCGCCGCTACCTGCGCCGCCCTTGCGCCCCGCGGGAAGCCCCCCCGACGGGCCTCCGCTGCGGGAGAAGATTCCGCCGACGGGCCCCCCGCTGCTGCCGCCGCTGATGGCGCCGCTGGCGGCGGCGGAGGCGGCGCGGAGCGTGTGGCGGTCCGGGAGCGTCCATTCGAAGCCCTCGAAGCCGTCGAGGCGCGCTGCGAGGCGCCTCTCTCGCGTCGGTCCCGCGCGCATTGGACACGTGGCGGAGCGGAGGAAAGGGAAGATCTAGTGCGGCGCGGACGGAGAGCGAATAGATACGTACAGTTGCATCCACAACCCCCGTGGGTCAACGGATCAAGATGCGCAGGCACTCATGGATCGAGCGAGAGACGAGAAGCGGGAGGCGAGACGCGACGTAATGTGTTGTTTAGGAGACGAGCGACGAGAGGCGGGGTGTGTGGGACAGTGCGGCGATCCGTAGGAATGGATTTGGGAACTGGGTCGAGGTTGGGGAGTGAGTTGATGATAGGTGAGAGCAGAGCAGAGGTAGGTGGCGGTTGGTGGGCGCGGAAACAGCAAGGGCGGGGATCTCGAGGATTGCGGGGGGAAGGCGGAAGGGCTGGGCGGAAACGGAGGGGAACTGGCGGGGGGCGCCAGAATTCGGTACAAGCGAACCTCGAAAAGACTGGTTGTTTGGGTGAAGTGTATTTCGGTAACGAAGCGAAGCGAAAGTTCTTCGTGCGAGCCTAAATTTGCGCGGGGTGAACTTCGAGAAGTCCCTCCCAAACCGTCAGATTCACTGGTCAATCCATTCACGCGGCTTCGATCAGATTTGCCTGCAACAGGGTCAGAAGAGCATAGTCTCTGCCAGAGAACTTCTGTCAGAGGGTAGCCGTCGATCGATCCAAAACTTGTGCTCCTGGCGTGCAGGGAGAGTTTGCGCCAGAGAGAGTCCTCCTCGGCACCTCGCCCGCGAGGCATCACAGGCTTCTTCCGCCCGCCAGTGCGCCTCCAGTCCGCCACGTGCGCGTCGCAGCGAGCGTTCCGGCCAGCGACGAGCCGAAAGGCCGCCAGGAGAAGCAGCGCAGGAGATCAGGAGAATCCGATATCAGGGCTCGCCTGGCCAACCCGCCTACGCGCCTACTGCCAAAGCCGCGCGTTCAAGGCCCGTGCGGTGAGCGCAGCAGAGCAGCAGCGCAGGCGCGGGTGAGCAGGGCGTGAGCATATGGAGGAGCAGGGCGTCGTGGTGCGGCGGGTGATGGACGCCGACAACAGCTGCCTCTTCAACGCCGTCGGGTGAGCCGCCACCGCTGACCACAGCACTGAAAACAGCACCGACTACAGCCGCCCGCCATCCCCGCACACACCGCCCGTCGCTGCTGCCACCCTCACGTCATTTCCCAAACTCGCCGTCTCTCCGTCCTTGCGTCTCCCCGTCTGTCCGCACCTCGGCCACCTGTGTGGTTGCTGTCCCGTGCATGTATGCATGCAGGTACGTCACGGAGCGCACTCGAGACAAGGGCGCGCAACTGCGACAGGTATGGCTCCTGCGCGCCTTGCACGGTGGCATGGGTGGGGGGAGGGAGAGACACTGGTGCGGGATTGGAGAGGGTGGGAAGGGGGGGAGATGGGTCATTCGAGGGGAGCAAGGTTTCACTGTTTCCCAAGCGGCGTTATCCCTGCCCACTTCAGTATTTTGTGATGTGCATGGGGTTGTGCTGCCTTTGCCCATGTGTGCTGCCGCATGCGTGCAATCCTCCCGTGCGCGGCCCCCCACCAGGTGATAGCGCGCGTGGTGGCGGCGGACGAGCAGCGGTTCACCGAGGCCGTGCTGGACAAGCCCAACGCCGCGTACTGCCACTGGATCACTCGCCCCGACTCCTGGGGAGGTGCGCCGGTGGTGGGGGGTACAGGGGGGGAGGAGGCAGGGGTGGGAATGTGATGTGGAAGCGAGAGAGGGTGGTGAGGTGTGGGAGGAGTGGGACGAGAGGGGAAGGGTGGAGCTGGGTGCAGCTCAGCTTGCTGCCATGTCTTTGCTGGTTGTTGCCCATATCCGGAGAGCTTGTCTTAGCTTGACATGCCCTCATTCGGCCCTTTCCAATCCCATGTCCGCGTGTGCTCGTGGTGCCACCAGGTGGCATCGAGCTAGCAATCCTATCAGATCATTTCGCCAAGAAAATAGCGGCGTTCGACATTCAAACAAAGCGATGTGACGTGTACGGGCAGGTGAGCGAATTCCACAGACGACAAATATGCCTCCTTCTCACTTATCCCGTGTCTGTCGGTGCTCCTGCTGCTAGCCTTAAATATTCACACCTCCACTGCCTCTGTCACGTGCCATCTCTTGCTCCGTTTATCCATCCCTTCGTTTCCCCACTGTGTACCGCCTTCATCATCCGTCCTCTGTTCTGTGACTGCTCCCCCAATCCTCACCCCTCTCACCCTCCCCTGGCCCTCTGAACCGGTTTGCCCCCTGAGCCGGCAGGACAAGTCATACAGTGAGACCATCATGCTCATATACGACGGCATTCACTACGACGCACTTGCGGTACGGTGCCATGAGCTCACCGTGACACATGCCATGCCGCATGTCAAGCACTCACACACATGCCAGTCACTCTACCAGCACGCATCTCATCTCCCCGCCCCAGTCATCCTTCCCACGCCCTCAAAACAACGCCCCACGGCACCGCACATCGCCCCAACCACACTCTACCCCTCGTCCCTTGTCTCAGTTCCCACTGCTCCGTATACCCCAACGCCCCTTGCGGCAGCTGTCCCCGTGTGAGGGTGCACCCGAGGACTTTGACCAGACCATCTTCCCCGCCACTGCCGCTGCCGCCCTCCCCCCCGCCGTGCGCCGCAGTGCAGAGGCGCTTGTGGAGGCCGCACACAAGTGAGGCACGGGTGCAGGGGGCGATTGGGGGGTTGATTGCGGGGCTTGATTACTAGAAATGCTAGATTCATACAAGGCTCTTCAGGATGACTGCGCAGTAACCCTCCTGACTTCCCTCTGACGTCCTCCTGTCGCCCAGTAGCCTTCTTTCCCCTCTCTTGTCTGTGTGTGTGTGCATGTGCATGCACACGTGCGAGCAGGGCCAAGAGCTTCACAGACACGGCGCGCTTTGCGCTGCGCTGTGTGGTGTGCCAGCAGGGGCTGGTGGGGCAGGAGGTGAGGCGCATACAAGCACACACTTTTTTTTTGGGACTTGCCTTGCTGCAGTCGGACAGTGGGGGGACCTCCTCTCTCCCTGTGCTCACTTGTGCTGCTCAAGGCCACTTGAGCATCTCAACTGCATCTATCCCTCTCTCTCTCAAGTGCTCATGCGTTACGTGGGGTCAACTGCCATGCCTCGTGCATCGTGCATTCATCAGGTCATGTGTCAGTCTAGCAGTAGTAATGACAATGTAACCTCTGCCTGTGTGTTACCACCTTCTGTGTGTTGATGCTCTGTCTGTCGTGGTGGGCCCATGGCAGGAGGCAGTACAGCATGCACAAGCAACAGGGCATGCAAACTTCCAAGAATACGCCTGATCCATGCTCCCCCTTCTTCTGTATAGCACGGCTTGCCTACGGTTGTATGACAAAATAATAACTACTGCCGACCAGTGGATTTCCAGTGCACTGTACGTTTCCTTCCAATCTAACTCAGCTGCATCAAAGGATTATAAACATGCGGTAGTAACAACAATGGCTACAAACTAGCTGCCAGGGGAACACTTGTATTACAGCCTGCAGGCCATAGATAGACAATATCGAAGTGGAACTAGTAACTAGGACCTACAACTAATGGAGGCTAAACACACCAAGGATACAACAAACTGCACCCTGTGCTGCCGCATTACATACATAGAGCTGAACCTGCACACTGAATCTCCAAACAAGCCGTATACGGCACCGAAAAGGAGAGGGGCACTCACTACCAAACAAAGGAAGCTCCGCTTGCGGAAGACTTTCACGAGGTCTTTAGGAACGAGGGGAACCACTTTTTAGACTTGGAGCGGCTGGTTTGGTGTTGCAACTGCTGGTCATCCGACCCCGCCCGGCCATTCTCGGAAAGGGATGCAGCGGAGGGGCTGCGGGGGTCGGCAGGGGGGCCTGCTCCTCCCATGTTGGCGGATGTGAAGAGGTCCATGGTGGCGAATCGCGTGGATAGCAGGTCGTCTACTTCTTCCTTCTCCTTGTTGTACTGCGTCACCACCTCCACGTACTTGGCCACGGCCTGCGGGGGAGAGGGAGAGTAGAAGCTGCTGAGTCAACTCTCTGCACAGCTAAGAGGTTGTCCACTTCCTCTTCTTTCTTGTTGTACTGTGTCACTACCTCCACATACTTGTCCATGGCCTGATGGGGGGGAGGGAGACCACAACCTTTTGTGTCGACTAAAAAACCGTGTGGCACGCTGGTCATCCACCTGTTAATTTCCCTTGTTATACTGCGTGGCACGGCATTACCACCTCCATGTACTTTGCCATGGCCTGACCGGGAGGAGAGAGGGATGTGAAAGACAGGCGCATGCACACAACGGGATTGAAAGGACAAGGAAGTGAGAGCGGGAGTGCAAATGGGGGACAGCGCGGTGTGGAGGTGCAATACATGCCCCCCTTTTTCCCTTCCCTCCATTCCCCACCCTCATGGCACACCCTCAACCCAACATTCCGCCAACAACTCCAACTCTCCTCCCTTCACCCCATCCTTTCCCCCATGCCCACGCCCGCCCCCCTTCTCTTCCCCCCTTCCGCACACCCCCCAACCGCAACTGACATCGCGGAACTCCTTTTCAAACTTGCGCACGCGCTCCTTCTTGGCCAGCAGCTCCGCCTCCACGCACTGCAGCTCCGCCACCGCCGGGGACTCCGGCGGCACGGGCACCGCCTCGATCGTGTACGACGTGCTCTTCAGGAAGTTGTCGCCTGCCCGCATGTGCAGGCGGGAGGGTGGGGTGGGGGGGGGGGAAGTGGGGGGGAAAGAGGGTGTGTGGGAAGTGTTGGGAACCAAGAATCCCGCTGCACTGGCACTGCCTCCCTATCGAGTATGACGTGCCCTTCGAGAGATGTCACCTGCGCGTGTGCAGGAGGGTGGGGAGGAGGAGTGAAGGGGGAGGGACCAATGTGGGAAAAGAGGCCGAGTGGGAATGGAATTGTGAGGGGACAGGGAAACTGTGGAGTGGGTGTTTTTCTTCTAGTTGACTCGATATACACCGGGAAGCGGACGGCAGCCGTGCAGGTGAGGCGACACACGCACCGTAGACAGCGAAGACATGTGTGCCGTCTTTGAGCTCGTTGACCTCGCACTTGCTCAGCCCGTCCAGGCGGTAGAACAGCGCCGTCTCCGGGTCACGCGCCATCTCCAACTGCCAGGGGCACGGAGGGGGGTTGCGAAGGGAAACAGAAACGAGGGAGGCGGGGAGAGGGGGCAGAAGGTGCGAGCGGGAGAGCACGGAAGAGAGGTTGGGAAGGAGGGAGGGATGCGGCGGGGGAGGGGGGCAAAAGGAGGGTGGCAGAGAGACCGGACTAGAGCCTGGTGGTCCATGAGTGTGTGTGCATGTGCGTGTCCGTGTGTGCAAGCACGAATTGAATGCCAGGGCGAGGCGAGGCCACGGCTAAGTGTGTGGCCTGTGAAGATTAGGGAGGCGAGGCGCGTACAGCACTGGCAGTGGGGTCGTAGCGGTAGCACTGGAAGCCGAGGAAGAAGAGGCACGCTTGCGATGCCTTGCCGTACTTGATGCTGCTCTCCTGCACGCGGGAATGGGAAGGAGGGCATGGATGAGAAGGAGGGCATGGATGTAATGGATAGAATGGGATGCAGAAGAGGAGGGCGGATGGCAGAAGTTAACCGGGGGAGGATGTGCGACTGATTTTGACATACGCATTGAAGAGTGAGAGCCAGAGGGGAGGGATGGGTGGGGTGTGGGAGGGGGGAGAGGGATCAGGGGAAGGGGAAGAGAGAGGGGGGGGAGAGGGGAAACGGGGGCTGCAGCCGAAGGACAGCACGTTTAATACACGGGCCATGTATAGGCCATGCACAGTCTCACCTGCATGGATAGGTCCAGTCCGCCTGTCTCTGAGCGCCAGTCGAAGTATAGTAGCTGGGACAGAGAAACAGACATGGGGTTGACACAGGGAGGGAGATGAAGATAATGAGGAGACTGATGGGGATGGGGGTAATTGCGATGAAAGGCAGGAATTAAGAGTCACGCAATGATGAGCCGTCATATTTGGCCATAGCATGACATGTACAGCAGCACAGCATGGCATAGCATGGCATGGCACTCAGCTGACCTTGAATTTGCCTGAGGCGGAGGAAGTGGCTCTGACGACGAGCCCATTCCTGGCCTGCTCCTCTGTCAGTGTCACGCTGTAGAAATGCGCCCTCTGCTTCTCCACCTGCGCTCCAACGCACAGAGGGAAAGGTCCAGGTGATTTAGGCGCAAAAAGTGGGAAAGGGGAGAGGATGGATAGGGGCGACAGGAAAGGAGACGGCTAGTGAACCAACCAAGGGCTAAAGCTGTCAGCCATTGACGGAGTCCACACATTATCTAAGCGTGTGCGCACAGGCACACGCAGCCCCTCACCCTGTCACTGATGGATCCGCCCAGGGGCAGGGTGCGCGGGGTGACAGTCCCACTTAAAGCCTCCTCCAGCACCGCCTGCGACACGGACGTCTTTATCGGCACGCCTAGCTTGCTGGCGCGCGGGAGAAGAGGGGATGAGAGAGTGTTGGTAGATGAGTAGACAGCCGACCATAGGGGCGGGAAGGGGAACGAGGGGGGAACGAGGTGAGGAAAGGGAGAACTGGAACGGGTCGCCGGGTGGTGTTTGGGTGGGGCGGTACTAAGAATTCAAATTTCCTGGGTCCTACTACTTATCCCAGCTGCGAGCTTATACCGCGTATTGGGGGCGTACCTGAAGAGCGCGACCATTGCCGTGTTGAAGGTGCTGAGCCCCGACAGGTCCAGAGAGTCGTCCAGGTCCTCCATGTTCACCGCCTGCCATCCACCACACGCACGCAACAGTCGCACGGACGACAGCGTGCGACGGGCGACGGCATGCGACGGGCGGAGGCGACGGACAGGTATGCAGACGCAGACGCGCATGCCACAGAGACACACAGAAAGGCGCAGAAGAGGCGTTGAGGGAGGGAGCGACAAGACGCAACAAGTGAGAGTGGTCGATTCGTCGATCGTGGGACAAAGAGGGAAAGCAGGACATGCGCAACAAGAAGCGGCTTCAATCTGAGTCGATCCAGTATGCATGACAAGAATTCGCATGAGTAAGAAGGTTTTCCGTACGTCGAAGCCCCTGATGGTGTACTGGTGGCGCTTGTCCGGGTCGGAGAGAATACTGTAAGCGAACGCGACCTCCTTGAACTTGTCCGTCGCCTCCGGATCGTTGGCGTTCTTGTCTGGATGATATCTGCGGCGAGAGGGAAAAGCAGGGAAATAAGGTGCTCGTGGCCGACTCTTAACTAGAAGCCTCGGGAATGGATCCAGGATATGACTGGAAGCGGAAAGCTAGAATCTACATGAGCGGATCTCCGATGGCGGCGTGGGTGTAGACTACTGGCTGGCACAGCTACAAACTCTCAGGAGGCTAATATTCTCCAGATTCGTATCTGACCTGAGAGCGAGCTTCTTATACGCGCTCTTAATCTCGTCATCCGTCGCCTCACGTGCGACCCCCAGCACTTCGTACAGATCGCGACGCGTTGCCGCCTGTGCCTCCTCGCCTTCTGCCGCTGTGCTCGCCATGGCTGCTCCTGACGCCCTTCACGCCACTTCTGCTGCTATTGGCAATAAAACCGACGCGATAATTACAGGAAGTTAGGAAGAGCACGCAAGAGGGATGGTACACGGAGGCCTTAGGAATGGACAAAGCGATACGTCTCCTAGACTCCTAAAAACTCTTGCCTTCACTATCTTCCCAAGGGATGTTTACCCTGCACTGACGGGGTAACCAGGGCTCCTGTTCGACTTCCATCGACTCAACTGATCGATCCCAAGGCTCCTCCCTCCAGCCAGAGCTACTGGAGTTCTCGAAGCCTGCCCAAGCAGAACCAACCAATAACAGCTCCACCCGTAGGTGTGACATGGAATATTTACAGGCTCGGCAAGCCAATTTGTGGCTCCCTTGTTCGTGCTACAGTAACACCGAGGCTGTCGGTTTGGCTCTGGTCGCCCTGACACATGGTATACATCCCCGTCTGACTTTCATCGCGCCTAGTGTCTCCTGCCTTTCTGGGATTCAGGTGCCGAATCGGACGGTTGGTGTTGAACGAACGGGTAGTGGAACAGTCCTGCGATGCGAACCCGAGCGGTAAGTATGCCTTTTTTAGCGTGAAGTGTAAATGCGAAGTGTCTGCTGTTTTAGCGCGTACGGTACAAGTCTCAACTTGCATGTGTCCAACGCGACAATATGAGAAGTTTGACTGTATGCCCTGTGATCATGTGTCATGTGACTCTACAGAACAGAACCTGCAAAATCACTCTTTCTGCAATCCACAATTCCTGAATTTCCCCGCTCAATCCTGCTTCCGCCCTTCGCACTTTTCGCAGCTACCGCCGACTCCTTGCCTACGCTCACATAAACTTACAGCAGAACCCGATTTGACCATTAGACCATTCATGGCTATCGTCCTCTACGCGAACCCAATTTCGCAGCCCAGTCGGGCTGTCATCATCTTCTTTCGGTATGGTCCTTTACCCAACCCACCCCTGTCGCCCAGTAGTACTGACAATTGGCCATCGATAATTCATTGTTTTCGCTGGCGTGTGGCGACAGGCTGAATGACATCGAGCATGAGACACGAGCACTGAACCTGATTAAGGGGGAGCACAGAACGCCGTCGTTCAAAGGTGGAATGTAGTCGACTCATGGGAGCGATTTCGTGTTTTTGCTTCATCCATGGGAGTTTACGTGTTATAACACGATCCGAGTTCATGGTTGCCAGGAGTCGCTGACCCTGCAGGCAATTATGGCCGAACAGTTCGTGCAAGTACTGTGCCTTTTTTGTTTGAACTGCAGAGGTCAACCCATTTGGACTTGTTCCTGCAATCACGGACAATGGGTTCAATCTGTATGAAAGGTGACGGGTAGCACTGCTGCACCCCGTTTAGTGGTGACGTGTATGCGCATCACGCTTTGGTTATGCACACCATGAATACATAATGTTTTCGTCATCAACGTACCTCATGCATGCAGCCATGCCATTATGAAGTACGTAGCAGCAACTCGTCCCTACAAGGAAGATTGGTATGCACATGACGTGCAGAAGAGAGCACGAGTGGATGCGCTTATGGACTGGCACCACAACAACACACGCAGACACACCGGTAACAGTTGTTTCTCTTTTTCTTCCTCCTCCCATCTTCGTTCTAATACCACCCGCTGACAGATACCTTCATTCTGTTGCCTTGCAGTTGGTATTGTGTGGAATGAAGTGATATGCAGCATGTTTGGCCTCTCACCAGATATGCATCTTGCAGCTCTGTCTCGCCGGGAGTTGCAGTCATCTCTCTCTGCTATGGAGCGAGTGATGCTGGCACAAGCAGACGCTTCCAAACCCGATTCACCACGCTTCCTTGATGCCAACATTCATCCCACTATAGCTGATCTCAGCATCGCATGCGAGCTGAAGCAGATCGAGGTAAGCGTGCATGCCAGCCGCTACAAAAGCACATTTCGTTTTCTCTTTCTGCTTGAAACGCCTGGTCAGCGCTCGCACCAGAATTATTTCTCACTACCTACCTTTCGTATCCCAGTTGCTGGGCCCTGCAGGCAAGGAAGCTGTGCTGGGAAGCCACAAGAAGGTGCAGGCGTGGCTGGAAGCAGTGAGGGCAGCATGCAACCCAGTCTTTGACCAAGTGCATGGGGCTTTATATAGGCTAGCCTCCAGGGCTGAAAAGGCAAGGAATCTAGGCAATATCCAGGCCCCCACTCAAGGTGGTCATACCGCTGGTGGTTCCCAACTCATTGGTAGAAAGATTCGTTCTTCCTTGTGAACCCAAGGCTGCCAAAATCTCACGCAGAAGGGGGACTTGTACACCGTGATTGGCCTTTCGACATGCATCAATGTGGCAATAATAGCTTGCTACAGATGCATACATCATGAAGAGTGTACATACGAGGGCTGGTGTCGATAATTCGTAGCTTCATATCCCTTGAAAGGGTGTTAGTGGATTTGATGGTAAGGAGTGTTGCGCAAGCTTGATTGCAACTAGGAGTGCCCTACCTTTCTTTATGTTGTTTGCAATACATCATAACCAGAACAAACTCACCGCAAACATACGTTCATTTTTTCTTTCCGCAACCATCCATATCGGCTAAGGTGGTCCAGCAAGGATGAATTGGGATCCCAAAGATTTGGATGAGAGGATGCTGACGTCTTGTGCCTCCCGGGCCACGTACACGGTCTATTTTGGCCCAACTTCGTTCCACGTGGCCTTTGATTCCACCCGTTGTAGAAGGTCAAATTGAAATTCACCCCCAGGGACAGTTGAAGTGATTGTTGCAGCCACGCTGTAAGTGTAAGTGCTTGGCTAAACTTTTCCTGGGCTGTGGGGTTTGCGCCCCTATGGTAGTGTACATGTTTTCCCTCAGCATTCTCAGGCGATTCTGTAGCTCGGGTCAGACCCGAGGCAGACCCGCGGTCGAAGGAGCCGCGGGTTTTACAATCCCAGCTGCGGGTCTTGTGATTTTGATGGTCGTTCACCTACACAGGTGTGCCCTGTCGCAGAAGTGATTCGTAAAAGTGAATCCAGACTTTACATTGGCGGGCAACTTTTGGTCCAATGTTCTTGCTTCTTGTGCGCCAGTTTAGTTTGTCAACTAACTGTGCCTATCCCAGCCGTCAGAAAACGCAAGACCCGAGGCCATATTCCCACCGTGGGCCTTTCTCGCAAGTCCCAGAATCCTCCCTCAGCCTCGGTCAGGTCCACGTCATTATTTGTACCTCGGCCTTCTGACTAAGAATCGCCATTTTCGTTGTGCTGTCAGTCCCTCCTGCGGCCTGCCTCTCCCCAAGCCAACAACCAGCCAGCCTCGGTTATTGTTTGCCTTGTGCTTCGCTGGCCTCAATCCAGCCAGCCTCGATCCACTCAACCTGACCAGATTCTTACAGAGCATTCACAGACCAGAAGGCAACGGCATTCAGTGACAGAGTGGCTGGTTACCTGGTTCGATCTGCTCTAGGCCAACTCTCTGTGCTGCCATCCTCCAGACATCACAGCCATGTCTACCCAGATCCTACTCGGATCATCCAGAGTCTCCACCAGCGCATCGTCACTCTCGCATATTCGCTCCTCTGCGTTGTTCAGCAAGGCGTCTGAGGCCTCGCTCTCCACCTCCTTCCTTCCGTCGACTCACAAGGCGTCGTTCTCTGCTGCCAGCTCAGCTGCGAGACTGCGCGTTCAGCGACCGACGAGCTCACGCGTTGTGGTGACGGCCATGGCTGACAACCAGGGGACGGTCCTTGTCACTGGCGCTGGAGGCAGAACAGGTTGACCATTCTGCTGTGCTTCTCTGGTGTCTTTCAATTCCTGTCTAATTAAGTGTTTTCTCATTCAGGAACACATCTGTAAATCATGGCGCATATGATGCTGAATTAGAACACGAAAATTGCCGACATTGATACCCTGAGACTAGTCTTCGCATTTCCCTCTCCCCTTCGCCGTATCTCCATGTCTTCCTTGGCATGGCATCGTCAGGCCGGTTGGTGCTGGAGAAGCTTCAGAGCCGGCCAGAGTTTACCGCGAGAGGTATGGTGCGGTCTGGGGCGAGCAAGGAGACGCTCGCAGGCTCGGTCCCTGGCGCCGACATCGTCGTTGCCGACATCATCAAACCCACCGACAAGGCCTTTGCCTCGGCATTCGACGGCGTCAAAGCGCTCATCATTGTCACCAGCGCCGTGCCGAAAATGAAGCCCGGGTTCGACCCTTCTTCTGGTCAGCGGCCTGAGTTCTACTTCGAAGAGGGAGGCGAACCTGAAAAGGTAAGCCGTAGTTAGTTGATCGAGAAAATAAATGAACCGGAGTGCATGAGCGTGCTTTGGATTGACCAAATGTTGAGCACGAGGTACGTGATGTGGTTCTATTGGTGAAATCTCGACCGAAGGCTGCCTCATTAGTCAGGCTGGCGTTATAGTGGCCTCATCACCGCTTTATGCGCTTAATGGGTGTTTCGAACTAATGTTTGCTGCTACCCCTGTGTGTTTCAGGTTGATTGGCTCGGCCAGAAGGCACAGATTGATGCAGGTAAATACACCACCAGCCTCCTTATATCCATGATGCCGCTTCACTTATTCTGCAGTTTTTTATCGTCGCGCTAGCTTAAGCACACGGCGTGCTGCTGGACATCAGTGGTCAACTGATTTGCATTTTACAGCCTTCTTTACCCGTTACATTTGGACCTCCGTTTTGCTATATCTTTCTTTCATCCTGCAGCTAGGCGAGCAGGGGTGAAGCAGGTGGTGATCGTGGGGTCTGCAGGTGGTACCAACGAGAAGCACCCCCTTAACTCTCTTGGCAACGGAAATATCCTGGTCAGTCTACTGGCGTGAGCTCACTTCACTTGGCAGCATTACTTTCGCTCTGTTTCAGTGCGCCTTATTGTTAGCAAATGGCCTCGCATTATGTTCTGAAATCATGTGTCACGAAGAAATCCACTGTTTGAGCGCTTGTTTCCTGGATCGCCTGCAGATCTGGAAGCGCAAGGCAGAGCAGTACCTTGTTGACTCCGGCATTCCGTACACCATCATCAGGTGAGGTTAGAGTCAGTGAGTCCCGTAGTAGGCTGACGTCCACTGTCTGCTAGATCAGAAGATGAGACTCAGTCTCTTTTTCCCTAATAATGTATCCGATTCTTCTGGTGCCTTCCTGTTCATTCCCAGGGCGGGTGGCCTTCTGGATAAGGAAGGTGGAAAGCGCGAGTTGCTGGTGGGCAAGGATGATGAGTATCTATCAAGCAACACCCGCACTGTGCCTCGTGCAGACGTTGCTGAAGTCTGTGTGCAGGTATGCAGGTTCATTCTTTCAGCCAAATTTCATGCGTGGGTTGCAGCAGTTTCATGTCTGAATCTTTTTAGGGGTAGTTCAGACTCGAATCTCGTTCTCAAAGCTCAAGGATGACGTGAACATCTGCCATTGAGCAGGGCAGTTTGATCATCCCTAATCAGCCTGGAATTTAGCACAGCCCCCTCCCGTGACAGTCCCTGTTCATCCTTTTTGGCAAACTTGGCAATTTTTGCGTTGTGGTGTCGTCACTACTTTCTCCGTGTCTTCAGGCCCTTCTTTTCAACGAGGCAAAGAGCAAGGCGTTTGATCTCGTGTCACGTGAAGAGGGAGACGGACCTGTCACCACCGATTTCAAAGCTCTCTTCGCAAAAACTACAACTGGGATGTGATGGTCACTTTCTTCAGACACAGGTTGAGATTTGAAAACAACATCAACGCATTAGGTTGTCCCTGTTTGGTCGTCAGAAATGGCCTAAGATATGCATTGTTACACGTGTTGAACTTATTACCATATTTTTGACTGCTGAACTTGATAAGGTTGGTTGCTGTTTTTCCATTTAACGTGTTTGTTTATGATTTGTTCTACATGGTTGACCGCTGTACTGGTATTTTCTTTCAGGTGGTCTCAACATGTCCCTTGCTCAGCTTACAAAGAGCATCATGTACGAGTTTTTGGCGTGGACGAGGGCGTACGATTTTGCTCACTATGTTTCTCCAATCGTAGTAAAGAATATTTTCTCCATTTATACACAAATGTCTAGACCTAACAGCAATCAAACGTACGCTTCGGACACGTCCTTATATCAGTAGTGTACTCTTCGTGTTCGAACTGTTCCTTCATTGCTAGTTATATCGCGCTAAAACGCATAACTCTCAAGTCTGCGCACAAAAGTTGGTCGTAAATACGGCGTCACCAGCTAATCAGCACATGCAGGGACAATCGGGTAGTCACACAACGACACATTGTTTTGATGACATGGACGCACAAGCACGATATGCGAAGGTCTCGCTCTTCCCGTTATCACACGATTGACAAGTTTCGGAAGCGGTTTCGTTCAGAGGAATTTACACAACACTATGCACAATGGTCAACGAAGAGTGGTAGTTGCAGGAGAGACCAAACCGCCAGAGAGGCCACAGCTAGTATTTCGAGGAACTCCGCACTGTTATGCGAGCCTGAGCTGGCCGGCCTTTACCGGAGCCTCCGCAGCTGCTGCACAGCATCCGGCCAGAACCGTTGCACGTACCGCAACCCACATCTCCGTCCGACCATCTGCATAGAAAAACAGGAAGAGACGCGAGGATATCAGCGAGCTGTGGTCAAACCAACCCAGAAAGTCGTCGAAATTCGTGTGACAGATGCGGAACTTACTTGTTGCACATGCACGGGATCTTCCTGGTGCCGTGGCAGGTTGCACAGGGATTCATTGGGGGAGCCATGGACGCCTCGTGATCCATCATGGACTTCATGGCTATCGCACCCGCAGCTAGGCCGATGCACTGGGCTATCAACGCCTGGGATGCCATGACTGCTGGGGCCATATCTACTTGACAGGGGAGCTTTAGGGTATCGCTCGGGCCACCACAGGCGACAGGGCTGACGAGTCCAAAGTAGCGTGTTCTACTTCGGCCGGAATCGGGTTCAAGCTCTAGGTAATAGACAACTCCTGCGTCAGAACCTCCCGCGGCTTCTACAAATACAACCCGAGAAGTGCTGATGTGCTGGAATGAGGAAGCAGTGGGAGAAGCTTGCTCAAAACGGAATGGAACACGAACGGATGACCCAGCAGGTGGGATATGAACGAGTTTCGCGCACCTGGCCCGTCAGCGGTAAACCAACTGGAACCGTCAAACCTACCGTCCATTCTCCAACCCGAGTGTCTCGTACGTGCAACAGGACAGACTGTATTCACCGCTGGTCTGCGAGGTATTAGTGGTGGAAGGCACACCAGCTCAGCCATTGGAGCAGCGAAGGCGGGCTCGACACGGATTGCAGGGCTTTCGTGGCGCGAATTGGCCTCTCTCCCTTGGTTAGTCACGTGTAACTCTCAGCGTCCCGATTCGCGAAAAAAAAAACTGACGTCAAAGTGCAACGTGGCTGGCTAATAATGTGCCACGCCTAATCATGATATTTTGTGCCCAATCGAACCTGACTGTGAATAAAACGTCCCGATATCACGCAGCCCTCCGAGCACACTCAAGAAAGGTATTAGTCAAAGCATACAGAAGGCCTTCATACCGTAATATTCGTATAGAGTCTTCACCCTTAAAGCCCAGGTCACAAGTTACAAGGCGCGAGCATTTTTGTTAACAATTTCTGTGGGGGTCTGAGTGGTTGCCCTGTACAAATTTAGAACAGTGAACAAGTGGGGGGAGGATGGAGAAGGGAAGCTTGTGATTGGACGCTGGGGGAAAACGGGTTTCGCCAACCCCAGCAGACTCCAACCAAGGGATGAAAGGGCCAAGGGGAAGAACCGAAGCTTGCAATTTGGGACTACCAGAAATTATTTTGTTTACAAAATGGAGTCATGCGTAGCATTTCCCGGCCTCCTCGCTAGCATAGTCCTCTCGTCACCGTGCTCGCGCCTAGCGAGAGCGTAATCTGGCTAGCTTGCCATGACGCGTCGTGTAGCATCCCGCTCCCCACTGCCCGCTACCCTAATTCTAGCCAGTTAGGTTTAGGAAAATTCTAAAAAACCGTACGATGCACTAGCGCCCACGCGTAAATTCCCGCTTCCGCCTCTAGCTGCGCCGAGCTGCCTGCAGCCGCCCATTACCCACTCTCCCCCGCCCTCGGCGCTAGTTGGCTGCAAAGGGGAACACACTTTCCGCTTTTCCCTGCTTCGAGCCCGCGCGACCCGCTGTCCCCGCATAGCTCTTCTCAACCCCGCGGCCATGCCGTCTCACGCTGCGTCCCACAGCAAGTACCCGAGCAGGAGGAAGAGAGGCGATCGAGCAGTGATGGAGAGAGGCGATCGAGCGGAGATGGAGAGAGGCGATGAATCAGGGAGTTCGAGAGGCGATAGAGCAGGGAGGGAAAGAGGCGAAACAGAAGGGAGGGGGAGAGCCAATACAGCAGGAAGGGAGTGAGTGAGGCGCAAGAGCAGGGAGGGATAGGCGATACAGCAGGGCGGAAAAAAAGGCGATAGAGCAGGGAGGACGAGAGGCGATAGAGCAGGGAGGAACAGAGGCGGAGAAAAGCAAGGAGGGGGAGAGGAGAGAGAGGGGGGAGGGTAGTGAGGGAATAAGGTGAACTGTGGAAAGGAGGGAGGGAGGAGAGAGAGGGGAGAGGAATGAGGTGAACTGCGGAAAGGAGGGAGGGAGGAGAGAGAGGGGAGAGGAATGAAGTGAACTGCGGAGATGAGGGGGAGACATGAGAGTTAAGAGGCGCCATAAGACGGACCGGTCTGCGGCTTGGGCGGCAGACCAGGAGAGCGGAGTGAGAGTAGGGGAGGGACCTGGGGCATGAGAGTGCCCTCAGAGAAGGGGGGGTTCGAGCAGGGGAGGGGTAGTAGAGTGAGAGCAGGGGAAAGGGAGAGGAGTGAGATCATGGGATGTGAAAGAAGCGAACACAGGGGAGGGGGAGATGAGTGAGAGCAAGGGAGGGGGAGATGAGTGCGAGCAGGGGAGGGGGAGATGAGTGAGAGCAGGGGAGGGGGAGATGGGTGAGAGCAAGGGAGGGGGAGATGAGTGAGAGCAAGGCAGGGGGGATGAGTGAGAGCAAGAGAGGGGGAGAGAAGTGAGAGCAAGGGAGGGGGAAGATGAGTGAGAGCAAGGGAGGGGGAGATGAGTGAGAGCAGGGGAGGGGGAGATGAGTGAGATCAAGGGAGGGGGAGATGAGTGAGAGCAGGGGAGGGGGAGATGAGTGAGAGCAGGGGAGGGGGAGATGAGTGAGAGCAGGGGAGGGGGAGATGAGTGAGAGCAGGGGAGGGGGGAGATGAGTGAGAGCAGGGGAGGGGGAGATGAGTGAGAGCAAGGGAGGGGGAGATGAGTGAGAGCAAGGGAGGGGGAGATGAGTGAGAGCAAGCGGGAGGGGGAGAGGAGTGAGAGCAAAGGCAGCAGGGGTTATGAGTGAGAGCAAGAGAGGGGGAGATGAGTGAGAGCAAGGGGAGGGGGAGATGAGTGAGAGCAAAAAGGCAGGGGGGTAATGAGTGAGAGCAAGAGAGGGGGAGATGAGTGAGAGCAAGGGAGGGGAGATGAGTGAGAGCAGGGGAGGGGGAGATGAGTGAGAGCAGGGGAGGGGGAGATGAGTGAGAGCAGGGGGGGGGGGGGGCAGGGGAGGGGGAGATGAGTGAGAGCAGGGGAGGGGGGAGAGGAGTTGAGAGCAAGGGAGGGGGGAATGAGGTGAGAGCAAGGGAGGGGGGAGAGTGAGTGAGAGGCAAAGGGAGGGGGAGAATGAGTGAGAGCAAGGGAGGGGGAAGATGAAGTGAGGAGCAAGGGGAGGGGGAGATGAAGTGAGAGCAAGGGAGGGGGAGATGAGTGAGAGCAAGGGAGGGGGAGATGGGGGAGTGAGAGGCAAGGGAGGGGGGAGGATGAGTGAGAGCAAGGGAGGGGGAGAGGAGATGATAGAGCAAGGGGAGGGGGAGATGAGTGAGAGCAAGGGGAGGGGGGAGATGAGTGAGAGCAAGGAGGGGGAGATGAGTGAGAGCAAGGGAGGGGGAGATGAGTGAGAGCAGGGGTTTAGGGAGGAGATGAGTGAGAGAGCATATGGGGAGGGGGAGATGAGTGAGAGCAAGGGAGGGGGAGATGAGTGAGAGCAGGGGAGAGTGAGAGGGGAGGGGGAGATGAGTGAGAGCAAGAGAGAGGGGAGAGAATGAGTGAGAAAGCAAGGGAGAGGGAGAGGGAGATTGAAGTGATAGAGCAAAAAAGGCGAGGGGGGATATGATGAGTGAGAGCAAGAGTGAGGGGAGGGGGGGGGAGATGAGTGAGAGCAAGGGAGGGGAGATGAGTGAGAGCAGGAGGGGGAGAGGAGTGAGATCAGGGGA